CTATTTTGAACCAAACACTGTACATGCTGGAGGAAGAAAAAAATGTAAATTGACTTTTTTCATTGAAATGTATTTACTGATTATTCATTGTGGCTAAGACATGATTGTTGATTAGAAGTGTGCAGAATAAAATTTTGAAAATGAGTTTTAAATATTAAGAAAATATCACATATACAATTTCACAAGAAAGTGAACTATAATTCAGTTCTATTTTTACATTGTTTAATTTTATATACATTACACAGAAGTATACATTTGTAATACAAAAATCTATATAAAACCCAAGTACTTTAACATCTAAAAAGGTGAGGAGATACTGCATTTGATTTTTGATACCTTTAAAACTAAATACTCTTAAAAATTAGTTTCAAGGAGACAACAATTCAAAAGCCATTAACTTTTAGAGGGCTTTGTGTTCACATAAATTCTTTGTTCAAGTTTGTGTTTTTTTTTGGAAACAATATGCCATTTGACTGGTTTCAAAGTCAAACAGAATGAGTTACAATATCTAGAAAAAACAAAACTTTCTTTAGTTTTGCTTTCCTCAACCTAGAATCAGCTTCTAACATGGAAGATAGAGCATGATAGTGATTTTTATTCTTGCACTACTAACTGTTGTATTAAAGGGCTGACAACACATCCTATAGTTTGTTTACAGACTCTTGTTAAAAATATAATAAATTATAAAAATAACAATTAGAAATGATAATTTACCTAATTTCTTTTTATTTGGTTTGAAAAACAGTACATCATTTTCACTGTGCTTGGCATTTGGACAACATACCTATGCAAATAATTTGAACATCTGATGGATAAAATATCTACATATCTCCTAGAGGATTTTGGTATTAATTCAGTTATATTTCTGGTTTGACAATTATCAATTGCAGTAAATATAAACAAGTTCAAAAGTAACATTCTAGGCAGGTGTGGTGGTGCACACCTATAATCCCAGTACTCTGGGAAGCTGAGGCAGGACAATAGCAAGTTGGAGCTCAGGCCAGGCAACTTAGCCACCTAACAAGACCCAGTCCCCCAAAAAGTAAACAAATAAAAAAATTGTCACCATAATATTATCATGTTTTTAAAAAGAAAATTATGGAGGCACAAAAACATTACATGATGCACCCAAAACCATGAAGGGATAGAGGGACAAATAAAAGCATTCTTTTCTAACTCATTAAACTATGCTAAACCCTAGCACTAAACTATTAAACCCTTGGGCCTGGGATTTAGCTCAGTGGTTTCACCACCTGCTGCACATGCACAAGGACCTGAGTTCAATCCCTGGTACCAAAAAAAAAACACAAAAAACTATTAAACCCTAGCATTAAACTATGCTAAACCTTATACCCTCTCTTAAAATTAGTTCAGTCCAACAGATACAAAAATTAGATACAATATTCAGGAATATTTGCTTAACCTAAACTGCTATTATTAAAAATTTAATTTCAAGAAATCTATATGTTTATAATACATTATTAAGAATATACAAGTGAAATATGATCATTTTCTGAATTATGAGGCATGTAATAAGTTACTGATTAAATTTGACACAATTAATTGCAAAACAAATTGACAATATAAATTTAAACAAATTCTAAGAAAGATGCTTATTAACATGATTTTTAAAAAATACTAATTATAA